TTTATAGAAGGTAGAATCAAAGCTCAAAGTAAGCAGAACCAAGGTAGAGCAGAAAGTTTTGAGTAGAAACTTGTAATTTTTTTATTTTTCTTTTCCAAACCTGAACTTACCCAAACAGGAAAAACTCAAGAAAATAAATTGGGAAATATTAGCATTTTAAATGTGACAAAATGATATTCTACTTAGCAAAGATAGTTTTGATTGTATGCTATCAAATTGGTGCTGACTCTTAATAACCACATAACTAGTCTACAAAGTGAAATAAAACCACGGTATTTCTAGGGAATTCTAAGGAATGAAAACTGCATATCTGGAGTGTTCTGTGCTTAGGGAAGGTTTTTCTGAAGCATTATGGAAAATTAAAATAGCATTTCCAGAGAGGTCCCGGGGTACATGAAGATATTGCATATTGAGAGGAAGAAGGAGAGAACGATTTCGGCTCAGACAGCAAAATGTAATTTGAGAGATAAAGGAAAATATTACTGTGACACTATTCCTGTTTAGATTTTTGTGAGTCCTTGGAAGAAGACTAATCTGAAGGGTTTTCATTTAAAAACAAACATTTTAAAAGTAAATTATTTGCCACCAGATTCTTGAACTGGGATTAAAAGAATCTGTATTATAATTTTTTCATTGTTTAAATGAATTAGTAAAATTTAGGCATTGAAAAGATAAATAGTGCAATTCAAATATTACATTTACCCACCCATGGTCAAGGTTCTCTCTCAGTCTCAATGAGAAATGAGTTCAGAAATAACAAACTAGCTTGTTAAATTGTACAACAGATTCATTTCAACTAATTATCAGTTTTTTTCTGTTTTGTGAAAGAGTTATGTACCATTAACAGTAAAAGGAGAGATTTAAACATGAAGGAAGGCAATGCTTATAGTAGCAATGCTTATTTTCCTGTCATCTTTTTTATTTTATTAATTTTTAAGAAAAAGTACTCAGGACACACCGTGGTGTTTGCGTAATCAGACATTCAAAAGTAAAAACATAAATAAACAACTCAACTTAATACATTCATAAGGTGACCAACCGTCCTCCTTTTGGGAGGACAGTCCTCCTTTTGTGAGTTCTGTCCTCCCTTGAAAAGTGTCTTCCTAAATGTCCTCTTTTTCTATATTTGAAGATTAATCTGCAGGGCTTTTTTTTCCTCATAGAACGCTCAGAAGGCGTTCCGGGACCTTTTTTTGATGGTTTTTTTCAACTTTTGCATGACCTGTGCTACTCCCCCTATTGGCTTTCGAAAGCCAATAGGAATTGCTGCTGAGCGAGCCAAAACACCCGGGTGGCAAACTTTGCATGTGCAAGTTGCAGGAACTTTGCACCCCTCACTGCTATCCAACTACACCATCTCCTACTTAGTTCCGAAGATAGCTGGAAGAGACTGGAGCAGTAAGTTTCTCTTGATCTTCCCTGTTCGGTTCTACACGGGGATGCACAGGGTAGGCGGTGGTGCTGGGGGGCAGCTGGGCGGGGTGGCTGCAGGGCCAGAGCCGGCACGGCTGGTGCTTTGCAAGCCGCTTGCGCAGTCCAGCCGTGTAGATTTTTGGACAAGTGAGAAATCGAGATTGAATGTTGATACTCTAGCTGCAGCACTTTCCGTAAAATTCAATATGAAGGATATTTCTTGTTCAGATATTTCCAATATATTGTTAGAAGATGATACATTGACAAAAAATATTCATTCAATGGAAAAGTACTCATTTAAATAATTAATAGGCATGTAAGCATAATTACAATGTAAAATGTTATTGTTACAAATGTTTTTATTATGCATTGATCATATTATAGTGTATTCTGTATTATTGTTGCAATAAATACAATGTTTCTTTTATTTATGATATTTTTTTCTTCAATTTATTCGTGTCCTCCTTTTCGTTGTATAAAAGTTGGTCACCTTAACATTCACTGTCTCCTCTCTATTTCCCTCAAGTAACATAATACATTTAGAATATTCCATTTCTAAATTAAATTTCTATTATTACTAAACCTGTTTTAAAACTTTATCAGTTTACAATTACCAAGATCAAATTTAACTTTAAATCAACAAGTTATCAATTCAGGTATCCCTTCCAGATATATTCTAATTCTTAATTTCTCTCATCCCTGCTTTTATCACCAATCTCATTTATTTCTTCTTCCATTACACAATAGCTATCTTAATTAAAAAAAAATAATATTAAACCTTAATTCACTTCAATTCATTACACAAACTTCAAATTTCATCCAATTGATTGTCATACCTTATCACATCTATGTTATTGTACAAAAAATCATCTAACTAAATTAAAACATTCCATTAACTATTAAAACCATCCCAATCTAAAAACATTCCATTAACTATTAAAACCATCCCAATCTAAAAAATCAACATTTTTTTCAATTCCAATACCTAGTTTTCGTCAAAATATATCTATTGTTCCAAAAAGTATTCTTAATCTATTTAAAATATCCATTCTAAAAATCACTCTCATGTATATATGTTTATATTTTTTCTTAATTCTAACTCTAAAATCATAATCCTTAAAACAAACCATAAATCCAACATTGCCTTTTAATCCATTACACAATTTTAAATTTCTCTTTTCAGTCTAATTCTAGCTTTTTTCCTGTGTAAAAAAGGTTTCCATAGGGACACTTCCCTTTCAGCCAGTGGATCTATCTTTATTGCTTGCAGTAGCCTTTGAAATAATAGAAATCCCATCTTCTGCATTAGACATCTATTTCTCTTCTCCTTGAAGTGTCGTTGCTTTGTAGTTTGAAACCTCAGTCTTTGCTTCTTCTGTTCCTCAAAGTTGCAGATGGAAGGTTTGTAAGATAGAATAAGTTCCTCTTTTATCTCTGTTGATTCATCTTCTAATATATTTTGATTTATACCATAGTCAGATGTAGCCTGGACGTCCATTTGAACATTTGAAGTGAAATCTCTGGATCTTAGTTTTGTAGTAAACTTTTTCATTGTAGCACATATTTCTGCAGTAACCTCATAGATCTTTTCCAATATAAGTGTACAGTTTAAATGTGTCCTGTCATCTTTTTGAGAGTTTTTTTTCCTGGATAGTTAAAAAAGAAAAAAGGAAGGAAGTTCTCTCATTTGCTTCCTCTGTGAGCCTCTAGATAAAATGTATTTTGTGGATAGATGTCCTGCCCTTTTTTTTCTTTCAGGACAATCTCATTGCTGTTTGGAAAAATTAATGCTGATTTGAAATTATTCAAAATATTCTTAGCCAGAAATTTAAGTATGCAGTAAGCTAGACGAACAGTTTGAACCAGTCAGATGGAGGAACAAAACAGCCAAATACTGAAGTCCATAGAGATCCCTCCCTGTCTCAAGGGCAAAACCAAAAACTATAACACTGCTGTGACCTTAAATGTCTTGAATAGAGATCTGAATAGCTAGTTTGCTTATTTAAAGTAGAACTGTTGCTTGGGACTGAGGCTCTTTTTTACATTTAAGTTTTAAGTTATAACTTTAAAGGGACAAAAAGAAAGAATGGGAGTGATTTACTTAAATGTCACTGTTGTGAAGGAAACTTGTCAGCTCACTTTCTTGCCAAGAACAGGGTAGCTGTATAAAGATAAAGAAACTATTTTCAATAGAATGGCTTAAATTCAGAAGTGTCTTCAAGTTCCTGCTTATAATGTTCTAAATTGGTTTGTTGTGGGTTGTTGTTGTTTTTTAATGAGAAGGAAAGGCTCCTATCTTCTAAGGACTATACAGGGATCCCCACCTCAGGGACAAAACCAAAACAGAGAACATACCATCTACAGCATAAACTTTATTTTTTTAGAATGAGAATCTTGCAATCACACTGTTTATTTATAGTATGGCTTCTGCTTGCCTAAAAATGTTGCAGACTTTTTTTCAATATGTACAGTAGTTTTCTAACTTTGATGGGAAAGGAAAGTAATAGAGATGTATTTAAACTTTGTAATTGTGAAGAAAACCTCTCGGTTTCCTTGAAAAGAAGAAAAAAGAAGCTGCATAAATTAGCACAGTCATAGCAAAACCATTATTTTTTTTTTCTTTTACATTTTTTTCTTTTCTTGCAGCATCTCATTAAAGTATTTTTCTCAACCCCCTTTGAAAAAAGGTTAAAATTGTGTGTGGAACTGTTTGTGCATTTTATATAAGGCCACTCAGCTGAGTTTTGCCTAAGACTTTGTGTCTTCTAACCCAGTGCCTTAACCACTACAACAAAGGGGTTCTCGTGATAAATATAGTCGATATCCTCAACTTATGACCACAATTGAGCCCAAAGTTTCTGTTGTTAACTGAGGCATTTGTTAAGTGAATGTTGCCCCATTTTACAATCTTTCTTGCCACAGTTTTTAGGTGAATCACTGCAGTTGATAAGTTAGTAACACAGTTGTTAAATAAATCTGGCTTCCCCATTGACTTTGCTTGTCAGAAGGTCACAAACGGAGATCCTGTGACCTTGGGACACAGTAGTGATCATAAATATGAAGCAGTTGCCAAGCATCTGAATTTTGATCATATGATCATAGGGATGCTACAAAGGTCGTAAGTGTGAAAAATGGTCATAAGTCACTTTTTTCACTGCCATTGTAACTTTGAACAATCACTAAAAGAACTGCTGTGAGTCGAGGACTACCTGTATTGTGAGCCAAATTGTCTTATATTATGGATAACACAGACAATTTTTTACAAATATGCATTATTTTATTGATATTTTGTAATATCTACAGTCTTAAATCCTTTATAATTCTGCTTTGTAAATTTAATGCATCCCTAAGTACGGTTGTCGACAAAGAGACTGCAAACTCTGGTGAAGTGTATTTGTAGAAGTTTAATGATAAACATATAACATCTCTCTTAATGTTTTTCTACCTTCTTCACTTTTACTGCCCTCTTGAACTTCTCAATCAACCTCCAGGAGGCACTGCGATCCTAGTGGTTAAGGAATTCCATATTCCAACTTCACCATAGAGTTTTTGGGTGATTTTGAGCCAAACTCTGAATCCACTCTCTCTGTCCTACCTTACAGGATTTTATTTGGAGATAAAATGAGGATAAAATTCCCTGAATGCTACTTCAACTCCTACAGTACAGTAAGACTATTAATAACATATGTAGAAATAAATGACATTTGAATATTTAGTTACTCATCATGGAATTTTTATAACTGGAGAAGAAGCATATCAACACAATCCACTAGTCTGGCATAATTCTTCTTCCAAGATGAAGAAATAATAACTGATATTTGACCTTGTTTACAAGGCTAACTTCAATGATAATCCAATCTATTTTGCTGCTTGAGGCAGAGCATAATACCCTACGTCAATCAAATTATTTTAGCATCTGTGCTTCAGAAGAGCCTTTCCCTGTTTCTGGCAGCAGCATATAATGGTAAACATAATTATTTGGTGCCACTTCATAACATCTATAATATGGAGCATGAAACAACTGTATTATGGTAAGATCAGTTCTAAACTCTTTGTGGACAAGACTAGGGAGAAGCAGGCTTATTTCTGCATTAATCTCATTAGAGGATTGTTTTACTTGCTTTTTTTAATGTATTGCTTTTTAAATGATTTATGTAGATTATCAATGATTACTGCATTGAATTTTTTCTCTGCTCATTTTCTGCTTTCTGGTGTACTATGCAATTGTGAGCTTCTAGACAATAGACAGACTTACAATACTTTAAAATAAATATATCCCATTTTTGTCTCATTCTGTGGCAGGTAGGACACAAACCTCTGTGAGCATATGTAGCGCATTAGCTTTCTTATACTTTAGAGTTATTTATTTAATCAACATGATGGAACTGGCCAATTCTGAGTGGCTTGTAATAAGAACAACTCTTTAAAGAAAAACCAATAAAATGGCCAAATCAATGAAAACCAAAAAGAACAAGACATGATTATGAAAATTATTCCACAAAACATGGCTTTGGGAAAGATGCAGATTTTGAGGCTTGTTTAAAGTATGGCCAGGCCAAGGCAATTCAGATCTCTGGGGAATAATATTGTAGGTACCATAACAGAGAAAGCCTGATTCCTGGGAGCCTTTAGATCAGGGTCCCCAACCCCAGGCTGTGGCCCACTACTGGGCTGTAAGCAGTGGTGGGATTCAAATATGTGAACAAGCTGGTTCTCCATGTGGTTGCTGCTTCCGGAAGTCCATTCTGGCCCTGGGCAACAAAAAATTAGCTACCGGTTCTGCTGAACTGGTGCAAACTGGCTGAATCCCACCACTGGCTATAAGCCATTCGGAACTGTGCTGTGGAAGTAGTGGGCAAGTGCACATGTATATCCCCACTTGCACGAGCAGCGGGCAAGCACATTTGTGCATGCTCCATTTGCATGAGTGGCAAGTGTATGTGCTTGCCATTTATATGGAACCATCCCTTCTCCCCCGCCCCGCCTGTCCACAAAGCCAGAAAGTTTGGGGAATTCTGCTTTGAATGACATTGACTCAGAATATATACCCAATGGGCTGAAGTAAGCAGAAACAATGAGAGAAAGGTGGTTCCACAGATAGTCAAGCCCTATGCTATGAAGGATCACCACCCTACCTTGAATTCCATCCAGAAACTCACCAGTAACCATTTTAGCTTGCACAGAAAACATGTTCCATGAGTATTTTGAGGCATGCCCACAACTGCTGATGCAGCTCCATTCTGGACATGTTACCATTTCCTTCATGCAGCGTGTTGTGTGATCAAACTGCTATGGGAATTGATGTGTTTTGTGTTTGAAATTTGTTGTGAAAGAAGTTGCAGTAGAAAACCCATACCCTCTGTTCAGCATATTATGCTCCGGTGATTCATTGTTCCCTGATCATTTTCTTTGTTCAGTTGACTTGATTGAATTCTTTATAGCTGCTGATAAAGAAATAGCTGGAGGTTAAAAATGCCACTAACTGTAGTGATTACATTGGTTTTTGCAGAGCTGTAAGCAGGAAGAATAATGTCAGTACATGTTTATTTCTGTGGCTGCACTAGTAAATCTATCGTACATTGCAAATAATAATAATAATAAAGTTGGATACAAGGCAGAAAATAAAGCAACATTGATTTTGATAATGTTATTTATTATCTTCATTCTTGTGTAATACAAAAAAGCATTGAAAATGAGAGAAATGCAAAACCTGTGGAAACTCTAAGGGAAAGAATAGAGTAAGATATATGGTAATTAAAGCACTGGCAGTGAGATAAATGCAGGTAATGTCTGTTTTGTATTGACCAGGTCTCTTTTGCTAAATAAATGTTATATATTATTAATGTCATTTAGAGTGGCAGATAAAAACACAGACTATATTTCTTATATGTAATGAAGTTATACGGCTAAATTACATATCCCTAAAATTTCTTCTTTATATATGCGTTTCATTTTAAACAAAAATCAATTTACAGTCAGCTGGAGTGTCTGTTCTATATTGTTGTATTAGATTCAGATTGTGTGAAGATGAATAGGAAAGTGCAGCAAGCATGACATCTCTGGCCAACATCGTTCCTTCCCCACAGTCTGAGTGGGTCTCCTTCAGTGACGGACTTCACCGTTCTGTTACTTCCCAAGGTAAATCTCTCCTCTTTGATGACATAGGTTCTTGCTATTTATTGAAACGAATAAGCATTTCAATTCAGGTATAGTCAAAAACAAAAATCTCTTGTGGCTTTCAATGAGTACAAGTTCTACATATGTACAATTCTCCGTCCCCATCCCCCCCACTTGTGGGATTCTATCACTTACCAGAAGAAGACTCCTTAAAAAGACTTAAGGAAAACATTGTGTATGTCCCTTGCGATTATCCTGATCTCCTGATCAGATCCCAGATGGTCCACTATAAAATGTAGTAACAGTTATGGAAGCAAGTATAAGGGATAGCTAGGAGTGTCCACGGTAATTTTAAAATTTAAAATTATAAAAAAACTGGAAGTTTCCAGCATTCTTGAACAAAAAATTGTTGGATTTTGGAATGAGAATTGTTAAATCTTGGGGGAAAATTGAAACTGGTAAGGTTTCAGGTGATTAAAAAAAGATTTTTGAGAAAAGAAGCCTAGTGTCAAAAATGTTGTCTAATGCTGAAATATAATATTATAGTGAACCCCATCAGATATTAAGCTCATTGGGTAAATTTGGATCATTCACTCAGTATATCACAGAAGATGGCAATGAAGATAAAATGAGGCCATGATGTCCAGTTTCCTTGGCTTCTGGAAGGAAACAGGATAAATATAGTCCTAAGGATCTGATTTCAGTTAAGTAACTAGGACAGAGTAGATCATGGTTTAAAAGGAGAAAGAGAATGCAGTAGTATGCTTTGACACAATTATGTTTAAAGAAATGAGAATTGTATTAGTGTAAATTGAAATATTGGTCAAATGAAACCATTTATGGGATTTCTTCCACATCTACAGTTCTATGGTAACCTGGGCAGAACTTTTTGTTACAAAAACTCAAGGCTAAGGAGTTTCTGTAACAAAAAGGAAAAAAGTAGCAGTCCTTTGCTAATTTTCCATTTCCTCCTGTAGTATCTTCACTTTACACCCCATATGTTGCCATTTTAATATGTATTTGCCCATTTCTTCTACATAATAACTGAGTTCTATTTGACAATGCTCTGTTGAATAAGCTTTGTTGGCTGGATTTAGTTATAATATAAAGTCATAGACCAGGGCTTAGATTTCACAAAAATTGAGTTTGTATGTCTTACTTATCAGTCCAAACAAACATAGGGGAGTCTGAAGGTAGAAGAAGAGAGTATGAAGATACTCAGTTTGACTACTGTGTTTTCCTGTTCAGCAAACACAGAGCTTTAAAGTCTTCTTTACTGTTCACATACCATATGTTAATGGATGATAAAGTTGTGTGTCCTTCTTAAACAATTAGTGTGATGTCATATTACTCATTTTTATAGTAGGGTTCTCATTACAGGTTATACTAGGAAGCCAGTTGAGAGATTTCTTTCCTCCTCTGATACTTCCTCTGAAGGCAACCAAAATCTAGATGGAGAACTGCCAAGTCTTTCACATGCTGAATTGGGAGAAAGAATAAACAAAACAGCTGTAGGCCTTGATCTGTCTTCATCCTTCAGCACTTGGGTCCAGTTTGAAGATGCACCCTGGACCAACAGTTCACCAGAGCATCCACGTACAGGTTGGAATGTCACTTGTTTATTGTGTATTATAGAAGAAATTAACAATAAGCCATATTACCTTTTACCAACCTGATACTCTCTGATGTCCTAGATTAGAATTCCCATCATCACTCAATTAGTATTCACAACCTAGTGGATATTAATTGGATTAATGAGGAAACTGGGATGGTAATATATAATAATAATAATAGTAAAGTTGGAAGGGACCTTGGAAGTCATCTAGTCCAACCCCCTGCTCAGGCAGGAAACTCTATACCATTTCAGACAAATGGCTGTCCAGTCTCTTCTTAAAAACCTCCAGTGTTGGAGCATTCACCACTTCTGGAGGCAGGTTGTTCCACTGGCTAATTGTTCTAGCTGTCAGAAAGTTTCTCCTTAGTTCTAGGATGCTTCTCTCCTTGCTTAGTTTCCACCCATTGCTTCTTGTCCTGCCTTCAGGCGCCTTGGAAAATAGCTTGACACCCTCTTCTTTGTGGCAGCCCCTGAGATATTAGAACACTGCTATCATGTCCCCCCTCGTCCTTCTCTTCATTAAACTAGACATACCCAATTCCAGCAGCTGTTCCTTATATGCTTTAGCCTCCAGTCCCCTAATCATCTTTGTTGCTCTTCTCTGTACTCTTTCTAGAGTCTCAACATCAATCGTGGTGACCAAAACGGGATGCAGTATTCCAAGTGTGGCCTTACCAAGGCATTGTAAAGTGGTATTAACACTTCACGTGATCTTGTTTCTATCCCTCTGTTAATGTAGCCTAGCACTATGTTGGCCTTTTTGGCAGCTGCAGCACACTGCTGGCTCATATTTAGGTGATTGTCCACTACGACGCCGAGGTCCCTCTCACCCTTACTACTAGTGAGCAAGGTACCCCCTATACTATATCTGTGCATTTGGTTTTTCTTGCCTAAATATAGAACCTTGCTTTTTTCACCATTGAATTTCATTTTGTTAGATAGTGCCCAAGTCTGTCCAGATCCTCCTGTATCTTAAGCCTGTCTTCTGGAGTGTTGGCTATTCCTGCCAGCTTGGTGTCGTCTGCAAATTTGATGAGTTCCCCATCTATCCCTTTGTCCAAATCGTTGATAAATATGTTGAAGAGCACTGGGCCCAGGACACCTGGGGCACCCCACTAAACACTTTCCTCCATGGAGATGCGGTTCCATTGAGGACCACACGCTGAGTATGGCCGGTCAGCCAGCTATGGATCCATCTGGTGGAGGTGGTGTCTACCCCACATTTTTCTATCTTGTTGAGTAGTACGTTGTGATTGTCAAATGCCTTACTGAAGTCCAAGTAAATTATGTCCACAGCATTCCTCTGATCCACTAATTTTGTCACTTGGTCAAAGAATGCAATAAGATTTGTCTGGCATGATCTATTTTTGACAAACCCATGTTGGCTTTTAGTAATGACTTTGTTTGCCTCTAAGTGCTTGCTGATTCGTTGTTTGATTATCTTTTCCAGGATCTTCCCAGATATTGATGTCAGGTTGATAGGTCTGTAATTTCCTGGGTCCATTTTTTTCCCCTTTTTTGTAGATGGGAACTACATCAGCTCTTTTCCAGTCCTCTGGTAGTTCCCCTGTGCTCCAGGATCTTTGAAAAATATAGTTCAGTGGTTCAGAGATCACATCTGCCAGTTCCTTGAGAACCTTGGGGTATAATCCATCTGATCCTGGCGATTTGAACTCGTCTAGGCTGGATAGGTACTCATACCATTTTCTTGCCTATCTTAACTTGTGTTTCTATTCTGTTTTTTATGGCACTATTTTTGATAGGTTTGTCTGTTTTTTCCCTTTGTGTAAAGACAGATGCAAAAAACGAGTTAAATAGTTCTGCTTTCTCCCTGTTGCTTGTCATCTTCTTGCCACTTTCACCCACTAATGGACCAATCATTTCCTTCACTTTTTTCTTGTTTTTTACATGTTGAAAGAAGCTTTTTTTGTTATTTTTGACTTTGGTCACAAGCCTTAGTTCATTTTGAGCCTTGGCATCCCTCACTTCATCTTTGGAGGCTCGGACTATTTGCTGATATTCTGACTTAGTTATATGCCCCTCTTTCCACTTTTTATATTTCAATTTGTCAGAGAGTTCTTTATGCAGCCATGCTGGTTTCTTTTGAGAGCTGTTATTTTTCCTCTTTGTTGGTATAGTTCAGCTTCTTTCAATTGGAGAGTTTGGAGGTTTCTGTACTGTTTGACCTAGGATGTTTAAGACTCAACTTGTTCTGTGGATGCTTCTTAAGCTTGTTGGTAAAGGAATTAATTTTCTAAGCCTTGATGTAAAGCATTTCTATTTTACAAAAGTGTATGTGTATATTGATATTGCCCAAAGTCAATGTATCATCCACATATTAAACAGGAATATTGTAATATGTTTTCTACACAGATTGTTGGTTATTGCCTTATTTGCTAAGCTTTTTAGGGGAACAATGGATAGTAGTTTTTCTAGACCAGACATGTCAAACTCGCGACGTCACATGACATCGTGCAACATATCAGAGCTTTTTCACCATTGCCAGCAACGGGGTGGGCACGGTTTCCCGATGACGCGTCCGGCCCATGGGCCAGTAATTTGATACCCTGGTTCTAGACTCTATGTATGAAGGGGACCTAATCTGAATTTTGATTCAGTATTTCAAACAATTAGATGAAGAGATGTTTTTCATTTAAGCAAATCAGTAAAACTGTAACATCGAAGGATTGGGTTTCATACAGACTCTTGTTTCTGGAATATAAATAAATAAAACAAAATAATTGTTGATCTAGGACCGTGGTGACGAACCTATGGCATGCGTGCCACAGGTGGCACGCAGAGCCCTCTCTGTGGGCACCCACACCAAACCCCCAGTCCTAGGCCTCCAGCTGGGTTTTATAAAACCTTTTCGCTTTAGGCCTCCGCCAACATGTGCCAAAAAAAAAAAAAGTTCAATCAATCAATCAATTTCAACTCGCAGGGAAAAAAAGATCTTGCAAAGTTGGAATTGATTGATTGAACTTTTTAGTCTCACCCAGTCTGCCGTTACCACCGCAGCCACGCCCACCCAATGGGCCATGCCCACCCAGCACCCAATGATACATAAGTGGGTTTTGGGTTGCAATTTGGGCACTCGGTCTCTAAAAGGTTTGCTATCACTGATCTAGGATGTGGTGAAAAATAGGGGAACTAATTAATATTTCGTCCCAGTGATCAGAGTATTTTTCTTTCATTTTATTTTTTTAAAAAAATAAATATTTTTGAAAAGCTTTGCTAGATGAAAGAGTTTCACAGACTTGAAATATGAAGACAATTATTTCTTTTTTGTTGCTGCTTTAGAAACAAACATAGAGTCCAATTTAGAAACAAACAACTTTAGCCCTTTTTCACCAGCCTTCAGCATCAGGGCCAGAAGGAAATTTTCATTGCTATCTGATTGTTTTTTAATATGGAGATGCCTTTTTTCTTGCACATATGTGCTGCATTACCAGTAACAGAGGTATATTACTGATTAGATTACAGTTTTTAAATATGTAATGTTGAGATTAAAATACTTATTAACTTTAACTTTTTTAAAAAATAAAGATTCCTATGTTTTCATCTAATTTTGCAAATAATGGAATATGAAATATGAACTAGTATGGTATCAGTGGGATGATAGGGAAACAACTAAATCACAACTTAAGAAGTGACTTTGATCATCACCTCTAAACTCTTTGTCTCCTGTGGAAAAATTTGAAGCCAGTTGGCTATCCATTAGTTTTACTGATCTACACCCTGGAATTTATTGAGGCATGAAAATAGAGTTAGAAAACATCTGTTTTGATTGCAATGTGTAGCTTACACTCTCCTCAAGTATTTTGTCTGATAAATAACAGCCCTGGTAAATAATAACCTGATAAAATAATTCAGGTGACAAGGAAGTTATCTCACATCCTTGGAAAGACTTATTCACAATAGGATAAATCTCACATGATACTTATTATCTAGCCTGGTGCTAAAAATATTAAGTCAGAGTTATAGCAACAGAAAGAAAGCAATAACTAGAAATGAAGAGATATTAAAGGTACTGTTTGGTGTCAGGGTAAAAGCTTATTGCAGTTGAGTTGCTGAAAGTGTTGTCAGCAGTCCAGTCTGCTTTAGTGTAACTTGCTTTCAAATATAGAATAGCACTGCAAGGACACAATATGGCCAAAAATATTTGGGATGAATTTCTCAGAAAAAAATTAAACCAGGTAGAATTTTATTTTGGGGTGTATGGAATGATAGTTAGGATTTTAATAGTTGTACTGGTAATTGTTTTTTGAATATGGGATTTGATAGCTATAACCATATTCAGATACTCTTGGAGTATGTACAGATGAATGTTTGCAGATATGAGACAAGGATAATAAAAGTGGGGGCAGATGTTCTTAGCCTTTTTCCATGCATATATCATTCCTGTGTGAACATATAGACTGTGCATATGAAAGTTTTATATATGTACTGCCTGACATTCTGTTTTAAAAAAAAAGTTTAGAAATGTTGTATGCATGTAACCGAATAACCTATATTAAAGGTTACTTTGAATGTGATCTACAGCAAACCTCAGACTTCCAGGTTTCTTTCCCCTACTCCTTCCAGCAGAGTTAATTCTCCAGAAGAGTTAAAAATTACTATCTTCAGATTTAGTAATTTTATGTGGGATGAGGATGAGAATGCAACTAACAAATCAGAATATATGAAACAGTATTTAAGGGAAAGCAATCTTAAATTCAATAATAATTCTGTCATCATAATAAGGTGGAAGCCACTTAAATCCCAAATCATCAGGATAAATCTGGCATTACATCATCTGTCTCAGGAAGTTAAGAATTGTTCTATATAAGTTCCATTTTTCTCTGTTAATATTAATCTTCTTAATTTATAGAAGCATTCAATCTGCCTAACACCAAAGATTATCACCTAGAAGAAATCTGAAATGTGTTAATAGAATTGGTTTTGTTCTGCTTTGTTCTCTGTTCTGTCTTTCCTGTCTGATGTCATACAGACTGTTACCTTCTTTATGACCAACTTCAGCTTTTTTTCTGAGCCAATCTAACTGGCTTTGTCATTTCTGTGCTGTTTGTGTCCTTATATAAATATTGGAACTATACAGCACAGTTAATAGGCATTGCCCTGTTACAAATCAAGTTAAGTTATAGTCAGCCAAAATTTCTGTCGGTAAGGACATAGAACATAGAATAATAGGGTTGGAAGGAACCTTGGAGATCTTTTAATCAAACTCTCTGATCATGGCAGAATATCCTATACCATTCCAGACTTTCTTTGTGCTTGATGGGATGGATGAACGTGACCATAGAATAACAAAATAACAAAACAGAATAATAGAGTTGAAGGAACCCGGAGGTCCTCTAGTCCAACCTCCCCACCCAAATAGGAAACCCTATAACATTGCAGACAAATGGCTGTCCAAATTCTTCTTAAAAACCTCCAGTGATGGAGCACCAACAACTTCTGAAGACAAGCCATTCCACTGGTTAATTATTCTCATTGACAGGAAATTTCTCCTTATTTCTAGGGTGCTTCTCTTGTTGATTAGTTTCCATCCATTTCTTCTTGTGCTGCCCTCAGGTGCTTTGGTCAATAGGTTGACCTCATCTTCTTTGTGGCAGCCATTCAAATAGTGGAAGACTGCTATCATGTCTTCCATAGTCCTTCTTTTCACTAGGCTAGACATATCCAATTCCTGCAGTCTGTTTTAGCCTCCCTAATCATCTTTGTTGCTCTTCTTTGCACTCTTTCTAGAGTCTCAACATTTTTTTTTATACTGTTGCGACCAAAACTGGATGCAATATTCCAAATGTGGTCTTACCTAGACATTAAAAAGCGACACTAACATTTCACTTCTCCTTAAAAAGACTAAGGAAAACCTTGTTGTTGTTGTTGTTAGTTGCGAAGTCGTGTCCGACCCATCACGACCCCATGGACAACGTTCCTGCAAGCCTTCCTTATGCATAAGTAAATTCCTTGCAATTATCCTGATCTGATCAGATCCCAGATGGTCTTATTTTTAGGATAAAGCTACCAAGTATCATGCAGAATGTTCTCAGTTTAGAAAATCTTGTCTATCTAATGAAAAGACAATCTAGATAATGGAAGAATTTGTGTCTTCAGCTGTTATTTGTGGCCATCATTTTCATTTCATCTTTTCAAACAAAATGGCTTGGCTTTCTCTTTATGCTCATGGGCACCTTAAGCCAGAAATGGAGAGCTAATTAGGAGCAGCATAGTCCTTCTGATGTGTGCGATCAGTTTACAACCCCTGAAAACAGAAAATGGCAAAATTTTAAAAATTAAAATAGTACAACAAAGATAGATTTAAAAGAAATAGGTTTCAGAAGGGAAAGAGTAAACAAAGGAATAAATACTGTATAGGTCTATCTGAGATGAGAGATTAAATCTCAAGAAAGACTAGTTTAAAAGAAACTGGTTGAGGAATGTGCAAAATAAAATCAAATGCTAATACCATTCAGTCAAATTATTCATTACACCCAGAGGTCCAAATAGATTAGATTTCTTTCTATTTCCTCAAGATTTCTCTTCATATTTTGCAGGAAATCTTTTCTTCTGGACAGCCATCTAGGTAAAATCCAAAATAGATGATGCCACCAGAAAGTTTAATTCAAAGGGATGGAGGATGGGAAGATGTTTGTACTCAGGGATCACCCAAATGATCCTCCAGATTTACTTTTCCAGAGGTAGAAGGGATTCTGACACATTCTGGCCTAACAGGAATCTCTAGAAGGTTGAATTGCTGCAGGTGTCCACATTTTATTTCCCTGCCTAGTTCTCCCATGATACGAGTGTCTATATGATTCTATGGGCTTAATGGGGAAAGGCTGGCATGCATTTCCTCTCTCCCTTCACCTCTCAGAAATGGCATATTCTACTCATATGCCCACGTCTCAGTTTTCCTGGCATCTTCCATTCCTTCCCTTCCCTATTTCCTTCCAACCACCTTGATCAGGGTTCCAGCACAGCATCTTGCACTGCCTTCTATCCTCAAGCCTTCTACCTTCAAGCTCCAATGCCTTTACTTCCTTTCTCTCCTCCTCTTCCTCCCTCTGCCACTGCTGATAATATCCCATTCCACCAGTCTGTTTTTTCCTAACCCAGTGATGGCGAACCTTTTAGAGACCGAGTGCCCAAACTGCAACCCAAAACCCACTTATGCATCTTTGGATGGGTGTGGCCCATTGGGTGGGTGTAGCCCATTGGGTGGGCGTCGCTGCAGCGGTAACGGCAGACTGGGTGGGACTAAAAAGTTCAATCAATTCTAACCTTTTTTCTTTTTTTTCCTGCGAGAAGTTGAAATTGACTGATTGATTGAACCTTTTTTTTTTTTGCACACGGCGGCAGAGGCCTAAAGCGAAAAGGTTTTATAAAACCCAGCTGAAGGCCTAAGACTGAGGTGACGGCACGCGTGCCCACAGAGAGGGCTCTGAGTGCCACCTCTGGCACCCGTGCCATAGGTTTGCCACCACTGTCCTAACCTTTCCAGCACCCTCTCTGTCCTCCAGCACTTGCCTTAACAGCTGCTAACCCTGACCTTTGCCTACTCTGACTTTTCCCCTTAAAACACTTGTGCCCGGAGCATTGCCTTTTCTTCCTAATCCAGGACAAAGCAGCCCCATTTTGCCTATATCTGGACTAAATGAATGTGTTTGGTCTGGAAACAAGGTCCTTGACAAACCATAGGTTCCATGTTCTGCACATTCCTGTCGTATTCTTGATAATCCCTTTGTATGGAACTCTTTTTATTCCCTTAAGTTTAATAAAATTATTTTTGTTCTTTTAAGCCTCATCTCCAAAAATATTTTGTTGGATGTGTCCCTCCTTGGAATATTCAGAGAGACAACCTCTTACTTCAGAGAGCAGTTGGACAACTACTTCAGAGAACAGTAGCAGCCCAAGTATCACCCCTTCCTACACTGATCTTCAATCAATAAATACGGAGGATTTGACTAGTGGAAGAGCATCTGCTGCAGACTCAACTGGTAAGCGACATATTTATTTATTTTATTTTATATTTTATTTTATTTTATTTTATTAATGTATTTGTAGGTTTTATCATTCCAGACAACTCTAGTCATAATTGGCCAAATTTTGTTGAATAAACTTATATAATTCAGGATATTTGTTTCCAGTGAATCCCCATCATAAGGAAATACTCACACTTCAGGCGGTGTCAAGTAAGCCAGTTTGTCTTATTCCTACATTCTGGATGCTGTTATTCCAGTTATCAAAGTCCAGCAATGAGATGGCAGATGTTGAACATGTGTGTTGAACTGAAGAAGCTTCTTAAATGAGAAGCGAAATGTTTTCATAGAAAAGAACCTGAAATCCAGTTGTCTTTTGGCAAAGCACCTTTTGGATCTCCAGCTCTTCCAGTTAAACCAGGATAGCATTTTTCCCCATTAATAGGTGGTATAGGGATTGGATCATGAAACATGAAGTTAATTCTTTTCCCCTGCCATTGTCTCAGTTAATTTAGTTTTCCATTTCTATATATACACTGACTTTTTAAAAAAAAAACAATCAAAATACATATTGGTGTTAAACAAATAACAGATGTATCCTGGCCCTAAGATTAATGTTGGAATAAAAGAGGAAATGAAGACCAAACATTATTGACTAGAAACACTGTGGTTTGATATTTCAAATAAGTAATAGTAATGGGACCCTGTACTTTGCAGCACCCACCTGCCTACATTCACATCCACTCCTGCTCCTGCTTGCACTTGTACCCTCCCATACACCCACCCCATCCATCTATAGTGGTCCATATTGAATGATGCAACTGTTGGGATTGCCATCGCTAAGCAGCACGGTCATGTGACATTGCACTTTACAAACACATTGCTTAGTGATGGAAACTCTAGTCTCAATCACTATCATAACCCCAGTAATGTTGGATACCTGGTATGTTGGATACCTGGTATGTTATCAAAGTAGGAAAGATGCTCACCTTAAGGCATGCATAAAATGACTATCAATATTTTGGTGAAATTAAACTGTTCATTCATATGCATTTTTTGGGGTTTTGGAGATCATTCCATTGTGGTTAATTCATATATAGTTAGTATGATACATTTTACAACATAAGGATAGTCATTCATTGTCTTCAAGTTGCTGACTATAAAAGAAGTTTCGTTTAGGTTTTATAAAAATGTTTTATAGGTACAGAGTTTGAAAATACGATCATTAGCTATGTGTACAAATACATTATGTAGCTATTTCCTATTTCTCTCTTAAGTAGTTTTCTTTGGATAGAAGAAGATGAAAGTACAATGGAAAAATAAAGGAGAGGGTTTCTTTTTTTTCTTAAAACAAACCAATCTGTAAAATTCTAAGAATAAAAGGGTAATTGGACAATTATACGCATCTAGAAACATGCTGAAACTATGCCTGAGAGCAAACTATCCCTGAATAAAGACCAACTGCATCTGCAAAATACAACTATATACCGAATAATATTTATGGTGCATAATCACAGCATCACAGCATGCTAAAACTTTATTATGAATTTAATATGATTGATGAATTTTCTGTAGTGATTGGAGATCAGAATTAACAGTAATATTAAGTGCTTATATTGTTCTAGATCCAAGGCAGCTCTTCACTTCAACTTCAATTTGATTATTGCAGTGACTTACCCATATAAAGGTGTAATTTTCCATCATCAAAACAAAGCAAAGATCCTGCTCTGTCCCCAATAACTTGAAGGAAAATGGGGGGAGGGGACAGAATCTGCTTACTGAAATAAGAAAACCCACTTAAGGTTGTTGCATAAAACTGTGGGAAAGAATCATGAGATCATATTGGTGAGAAGCAGAATCATGTGGTTTAGCACTGATGGGAGGTTTACAGAACCAATTTTAGAAGCAGCTATTTTAAATGATAGAGGGCTAATTAGAAGCAGATTTTGTATAAAAAGAGTAGAGAGTCATAGAAGAAGGGTTGGGCTCAAAAGTTGGCTTACTTGTTCTAACAGAATTTGTTGCAATTCCCCCACCCTTCCTTAAAAAAAGAAAATTTTGGTATATTCCACAATCTGAATATAAATTAGCTTATATATGAGGTATACACAGAAGTCGTAAGGTTGTCAATGTAACATTTTAATATTAGCCAGTTTTGAAACATCGAGGGATACAGAAAAAAAAAATAACAGAGTTGATAGGAATCGTGGAGGTGTTCTAGATCAAGTAAGAGATTCTATACTATTCCAGACAAATGGCTGTCTAATCTCTTCTTAAAAACCTCCAGTGATGGAGCATCCACAATTTCTGGGAGCAAGTTGTTCCACTGATTAAATTGTTCTCATTGATAGGAAATTTCTCATCAATTCTAGGTTGGATCTCTCTTTTATAAACTTCCATCTGTTACTTCTTGTCCTACCCTCAGATGCTTTGGAGATTCCCTCCTCTCTCTGACAGCCCCTTAATCCTAATCCTAATCCTTCTTATCATATGCTTTAGCCTCCAGCCCCAATCATTTTTGTTGATGTTCTCTGCACTTTTTCTGGAGTCCCAACATCTTTTTTGTATTATGGTGACCTAAATTGGATGCAGTTTTGGTGAGTTTTTGAAATTTTGGAGAGTGAGCGAGCTGTAAACTATGAAGCAATCATTGTTTAGAATGATGAAATGAAATATTGCTGGATTTTTTATGTCCGAAAAGACCTTTTAAAAGTGTTTATAATCACAATTTGTTTAATTTTATCACAAAATGTAATCCCCCTCTTATGCCTTTGGATGCGTGACATTATTGGATAGTTCCTTTTTATGTGTGCTTATAATTTATGTAGTGATCTAGATGCAGTATATTATATTTTATTTATTTATATGGCTGCCCAACTCACACTAAGGTGACTCTAGACAGCTTACAACATTAGAAATCCACAACATAAAAACCATATACTTTCCCTCCCCCAATGGCAGCAGCAACACAATGAGACCAATCACTTGATATCAATCACTTAATATTCAAGCTGCATCTGGCATGGTAGGTGCTGAAAAATATTTGGACATGTTTTTCAATAGAAATTAAAATAATTGATTATATAATCCAGAGTTTGGGTGGGACAAATGGGAATCAAGAATTTGCTTCCCAAATGTGGAAGTTTCCACACTATTGTCAAAGGTACTCTAGTCCTTCCAGGATCAGAAATTGCAGGCTTGTTAATTAATTTACTGCTACTCTACTAATTACAAAAGAGTAATTAAGAAATTGTAATAATCAAGGGTAATTGTGTGATCAGTTGAGGGCAGTAGTAATTCTTCAGGATGAGTTACTTTTCTCACCAGTCTTTTGATTGGCCAATGCATAATTTCCTTTCATGAGATTATCAGCAGGATGGTGATTCATAATTAGATCCGCAATACCAGTTTATGTTTCCTCTGGAAAATTCCATAAGACTTGGAATTTTCTGGAAAACCCATGATACATGAGCAAAAGTAATCAGGACATTTTGTCCTTACACTTTCTGTAATTTCGCTTTACCTGACTTGTTTTGCTCAGTGTAAATCTAGAGACAAGGTGCTTGATCTGAAGTGCAAAACACCAATTAATAGAATAAACATGACCAGATAGCTAGAATATCTGAAACTCCATTGAAATAGTAGCAATTAGCAAAAGCAACAACTTGGGACGGGGATTAATTTTCATCAAGGTTAAAATAGACAAAAGAAACCTAGAATAGAACTTTAAAAATATTATATAATAATAGTCTTTCTGGCTGAGCATCAAAGAATGATAAAAAGAAAATGATATAATTCAGAAAAAAATGTGGAGACTTATCAGTCAGAATGAAGGCTGAACTGGCAACCTCTAGCTTTTCTCTGAATAGAAAAATACATAAAACACTTTTCATTCATCTCAATTCACTAAATGGCTCAAGCTTTCCTTTAAGTGAGAGACTGAGCTATATTTGAATGCTTGTTAGATCATGCATAGCAAATGTATTTAACTCTGTATTTACCTTACTGTATGTAACCACCACTTAGTAGTGTAGAATAATATTGTTCTAGATCCAAGGCAGCTCTTCACTTCAACTTCAGGTACTTTCCCACTTGACTAGATATACATAATACAATATAAACATACATACAATTGGTTGAAATTTGTAGAAGTATCTTATTCTAAGCAGTGAAATTTGTCACTTGCATATTTGCATTAGTTTCTCAAGGCTGTGTTGTGTATTCCTTCCATTGTTGAATTGACAGAAAAATATGTTACATAAATTGTGCTGCTCCCACAGCTCAGTTTTATTATGTTTTTGCCATAAAGACAGGAATTGGTGCTGTCCTTATTTCATGTATGAGTGTTTTGGTGCACTAACTAGTATTTTTTCCAGTTTTCTTTCTCCTTGCTGACAATAAAAAAAAAACTCCAATTTGCTGTTCTTAAGTTGTAGTGGGAGGGCTCTCTAGGTTCTCATTCCAACTTCACCCTATAGTCTTCCTATGCATCATAATGTTGATTTGTTTTGACATAGGACTGTTGATCCTTTGTCAAAACACTAAAAAATAAAATAACTATTAATCAGGACAAAGCTTGCAGAAACAGATGTGATTTTGCTAAAGACTAGTACATATTGAACAACAAACTTAGGAGAAATGACATAACTCAACAACTTGGAAGCTTCCAAAGCGAATAGTTGTCCTTGTTCTTTTGTGACTTTATTATGTCAAAGTGTCACTCCAAATGAGAGAACAGAAGCACAATCTGAGTCCAATGGTCAGATTTAAATCAATATTCTTTGGTAACATAGTTATCCTCCTCCCTGTTTTGAATCTCTTTTTGTCGTCATTTGGGAAAAATAATCAAGAAGCAAAAGCTGGCTTTGGATGGAGCTAGACTAGACTATTGTATGGCTGGCTTTGGATGGAGCTAGACTAGACTATTGTTAGGACTCTTAAGACGCCACCAACTCCCTTGGTACTGTAATATCTCACCAAAGCTACAGTCATGCCATATATTAAGTTGAAACACAGTTGTGCAGTAAATAATATATGACAATCTTCAGACATTATTACTGTTGAATAAAATATT